TGTTCAAAGAATCTGTAGGCATTGTATGCAAATAAATCCCTGTCGATGTAGAACATCCAATTATTTGCGTTCTGTAGACTTAAGGCCTATTCAGTTAGTTTCTATCGACAACGACAATGAGAGTTTTACTTCCACATTCTGAGATGACACTCTCCGTCCTATTTAATGGTCCTGGGTTAAAATTTAGTATAATAATTTGTTCTTGAGCCCTGCAAACAGCTCTACTCCCTAGGCCTTATAAGATTCATTAAAACATTATCTTGATATAAACACGTCACCAAAACAGTAATTCCGTATACTAGTTTTGCATGGTTATTTAATAATTATTCAAAAAATAATCTTCGAATGCATCACTTATTAAAAAGTTCCATTGTTTTGATGACTTGAAGAATTGATAAGCCTTAATTAATTTTTACTACAACTGTCTTGCTATATTTACTTGCCATTACATAGAGCAATTTAGTATAATAATTTGTTCTTGAGCCCTGCAAACAGCTCTACTCCCTAGGCCTTATAAGATTCATTAAAACATTATCTTGATATAAACACGTCACCAAAACAGTAATTCCGTATACTAGTTTTGCATGGTTATTTAATAATTATTAAAAAAATAATCTTCGAATGCATCACTTATTAAAAAGTTCCATTGTTTTGATGACTTGAAGAATTGATAAGCCTTAATTAATTTTTACAACTGTCTTGCTATATTTAATTGCCATTACATAGAGCAATGTCTCACAAACACAACATTATTATGAGTCTAATGCCACTGCAAATAAAAGCACATTGAATTGACACGACTCTGCCTTTGAGCACACAGCCATGGGTGTCGGTTACTTCGAAAAATTGTCATTTACAAATATTAAAACCTTATCTACAAGAGCAGTTTTTATTCTTAAGATGGCAATACAAATTTGTTTATTGAAAATAATTGATGTGTTTATCTGAGTTTTACAGATCTCCATCCGAATTTTAAACCACTTTTGGGACCGGGGTTTGTGTGTGGTCTATATTCAGAATTCTCCTAAATACTAGTACTAAAAGTTGTCTTTAAATGTCTATTTAGAGGGCAATTAACATAGATATAGTAAATGCCAGATTGTTTTATTCCAAGTGTTTTACAGTTTTAAGGTAGGCCTATGCTGTTATTTATTCTTAATAAGCCATTTCTTGGTATTCGCTTGCACCCAAATATCCATTACAATAATTAGGCCTACTAACAACACGTCCAACCTACTGAAACTATCAGTAGGCCTATTCATTATTTTGAGGTATATAGTCATATCATCATAATTTATTATATTAAAAATAGATTGAAATCACTGTATATTTTAATGTATCCTGTTTTCAGGGAAAATTTCAGTTGGGTCTGCTAAATCCATGATATGATACATTATGTTTAAATGTTTTATTTCAAGTGTTTTAGAATGAATTACTGCATTCTGTTATTGATTCTTAATAAACCATTTCTTGGTAGCCACACATCAAATCTTGCGCTCTTTCTATACCCAAATATCCACTACAAAAATACAAAAATCTGCATCCTCTAACAATATCGGTATTCAATATGGAGCACTGTATATATACACAGCATCGGCTTTTTAACGGATTATTATTTTTGACCGCTATATATTTTACAAGTGTCTTTAATTGAAGGAAAAAAATTCAGTATGGTATGCCAACATGTTCCAGTGTTCTCCCAATTATAAAAATTTTACTGGTAAATTTGTCCATATAGAGCCTGCTAAGCGCGCGCAACGTGAGGTACTTTTAAGTGGAGTTTAATGGCTTCAAAAAACAATATATAGGCCTAGGCCTAATCATAGCCTATGCCTGGACTGGAATTATGTTCGTTTATTGAAAGAAGGGCAGCCTAGGCTACCTAGGCCTTATATGTGCTTTTTAAAATTCTATCAACACATAATTTTTACTGGTCGGTCAGTTATTTTTACTGGTAAAATTACACTTTAGAACACTGGTTTTTCGTGTCTACTAGAATCCATAATTAAAAACTGGCACTAAATGTAGGGCCTAATGTATTTATACCCAAACTGCTCTCAAAGCTCTTATAATAAATTACTCCTCCCCTAAGAATCTATTCGTGCCTGAGCTACACGGTAAAAACGGTACCAGTTACTCTCGTCTATCCACAGCAGGGGCTGTATGGATCAGTACACCGGGGTAGCCCCCTACTCGTCTCGAAAGATGTACTGGGTACTTTAAAGTGCACACAAGACTTGTTCCACCATCAGAGCCATAGGCGAGCATGGCGTTCGCAGGGGCGGATCCAGAGATGTCCGAAAGAGGGGGGGGGGGGGGGGGGGGGGGGGAGTGCCGAAATGGGGCATAAAGTGGGCCGATCCAGATAACACCACCCCAGGGGATCCGGGGGCATGCCTTCGCGAAATTGTGGTAGTTTAGACGCCCGAAAAAACCTCGGAGGCGTTTTGGGAGATCATTTTTTTCTTTCTTTGTTTTGTTTGGTTTTTTTTTTACTTTTCAAAGGGGCATACATCCGCCCCGAAACCAGCTTCGATATTATGACTGTAAGTTGCAGAGCCCCTGCCTAAACCGCACATCCATCCACCTATTGTGGTCTTTAGATTACTCTATTTAGAGTGCATGCTGTTATTTATTCTTCATTCTAAAGGATTTCTTGGTATACAAACATCAAGTCCTGTACTTGTTTGACCCAACTTTCCATTAAAATATCATTAATATCAATCTCACTAATTCTCTTACTAGGCCTATGTTTAATTTCCATTTTCATTATGTGGCAATTTATTTATTATTAACGTCAAACAAACCCAACATATTATGAGAGTAAAGTATAACGGCACTGAAAATAAAAGCAAATTAAATTAATATGTCATTTGCAGATACCAAAGCCTACCGGTAATCTGTTTTATTCAATGTTTGATATTATAATGCGTCGTAGATATGATAGCAGCATTAATCTATTAGCCTAATTGAAATTTCAATGGTTTTTTTAATAGAATTTTTTGTTAACGTAAGCTTATACTGTTTCTTTTTCTGTATGTGAATATTTCAAATAATTTCCATATTTTTCGGCGGAAACATTGAAACCCTACTCAGCGCCAAACAGGCCTATAGATATGCTCAACGAAGTATATAGGACAATTCAATATGAAATCACTAAGTAGGGATTTGTAGTCAACTAGTAACTGTATACGCAATTGGTTTAAGTCTACGCAATTGGAATATGGCAACCAAATCTAAAATAAAATTGAGGTTGGTAGAAAAAGAGATCGGAAATGTTGAATAGGCCTATTGTAATGTTAACCATAAAATGCCATCGTAGGCATTAAAATTCTTACACTGTAGGCGTATACTCAATGAAGTATACACCGAGTACAACAAAATAACTACAATTGAAACTTATTAAATGTGGTTAACAATTATACAAAATAAAATATTTTAATAATGTTCTTCTTCACTCTTAATAATAATTATTACAAAATAATATATATATATATATATA